AGAAGTTGTTTAAAGTTTTTAACATATTTGACCCCTGTGACCTTGAATATGGGTGAAGGTCATTCATTTGAACAAACTTTGTAGCCCTTCATCTCAGCATGCTACTGGCCAAATATAATCACCCTGGGCGTTTTGGTTATTCAGAAGAAGTTGTTTAAAGTTTTTTTTTAATACAATTGACCCCTGTGACCTTGAATATAAGTGAAGGTCATTCATTTGAACAAACTTGGTAGCCCTTCACCCAAGCATGCTACTGGCCAAATATCATCTCCCTGGGAAGTTTGGTTATCGAGAAGAAGATGTTTAAAGTTTTTAACATATTTGACCCCTGTGACCTTGAAAATGGGTGAAGGTCAATAATTTTAACAAACTTTGTAGCCCTTCATCCCAGTTTGCTTCTGGCCAAATATCGACACCCTAGGCCTTACGGTTATTAAGAAGAAGTTGTTTAAAATAAAATATTGACGCCAGACGCCAGACGGACGGACGGACGGACGACGGACGCCGTGCCACGGCATAAGCTCACTTGGCACTTTGTGCCAGGTGAGCTAATAATGTGTTACTTATCCAGTTTAATTCAGTTCATTATTGCCCTTTTAACAGAGTTATGGCCCTTTGAACTTGAAAGTTATTTTGTCTGTGGGTATCCTACAAGATATAATGGTCCTTTGTAATTTTGCAAAATCCCTCAAGGAATGAAGCCGATAGAGCGCTGATAAGGATTTTCTAAAAATAGTAACAGCGACCTTGACCCAACAACCCTGAAACTCGAACTTGTCCGAGATATTATAGTCCTTTGTGATTGTGTGAAGTTTGATCCAAATCCCTCAAGGAATGAGGCTGCTAGAGCGCTGACAAGGATTTTCTAAAAATAGTAATGGTGACCTTGACCAGACAACACTGAAACTCGAGCTTGTCCGAGATATTATGGTCCTTTGCAATTGTGTGAAGTTTGATAAAAATCCCTTCAGGAATGAAACCACTAGAGCGCTGATAAAGATTTTCTAAAAATAGTAACTGCGACCTTGACCCGACAACCCTGAAACTTGAACTTGTCCGAGATATTATGGTCCTTTGTATTTGTGTGAAGTTTGATCAAAAACCCTCAAGGAATGAAGCCATTAGAGCGCTGACAAGCATTGGTGTTACGTACGACACAGACGGACTGAGAGGAAAAAGATACATAGTCCCCCCGGTTTCACCGGTAGGGGACTAACAACTTAGTAACAAAATCTGTCTTTCCCCTACTACTGAATATATGTTCACAATCAGTATGCTATGTTCTTCTGCTTTTGATGTTGGATTTATATATCTCTTATTTAAGACAGCTGTGACATGCATTCTTTTCATTTTTGTTAGTAACAATCCACACAATCAACACCACACCATAAACATTTTACTTATTATAATCTATGGACCAACAATAGCTGCTGTGGATCAGGCCTGTGGTTTGGATCAGACACTAAGCTGCCGTGGATCAGGCCTGTGGTTTGGATCAGACACTAAGCTGCTGTGGATCAGGCCTGAGGTTTGGATCAGGCTGTGGTTTGGATCAGACACTAAGCTGCTGTGGTACAGGCCTGTGGTTTGGATCAGACACTAAGCTGCTGTGGATCAGGCCTGAGGTTTGGATCGGGCTGTGGTTTGGATCAGACACTAAGCTACCTTGGATCAGGCCTGTGGTTTGGATCAGACACTAAGCTGCTGTGGTACAGGCCTGAGGTTTGGATTAGACACTAAGCTGCTGTGGATCAGGCCTGTGGTTTGGATCAGACACTAAGCTGCCGTGGATCAGGCCTTAGGTT